GATCTAATGATCACTCTGTGTTGTATCTACCCAAACTGCGCCACCACTGCCAACTACACAACAAACAGCAACTACAATTCTGTTGTCAATCTTATCGGTAAATTCTTAAGGTTTGGACTTTTTTAGCATCAAATTCTTAAGTACCATATTCTTAAGTGCGGGCCGGCACTGTAGTCTACATCCTCACCTGTCTCGTCCGTGTTGTGCACGTGGTCGGCCTCCGGCTTGTGCTCGTCGAGGAGAGCTGCCCACTTNCCTGTCTCGTCCGTGTTGTGCACGTGGTCGGCCTCCGGCTTGTGCTCGTCGAGGAGAGCTGCCCACTTCTTGTAGAACTCGACGATGCGAGGCTCCTTGTCCTCGGTGATTCTGTTTGCCTCGTAGATGCGAGTCGTGCGCTCCGACACCCGTGGGTGCCTCTTGAGGAAGCCAGCTAGCCAGTCCTTCCCCGGACCCTGCCCTGGATCCCAAGGGATCGGGCGACCGTCGTTGCACAGCTGTATAACGGTTTCCAGCAGGTGCAGCCGACCCACAGCCAAGCAGTGACGACCAGCGTACAGCAGAACATCTTCAAGAGATTTTTCCTCTTCTTCGCTCAGGAAAGTCGCGGGACCAACCCTTGCTTTCATGGCCACCGCGCCATCGAGGCGGCCACCTATCTAGCCCAAAGAGCCTAGATCCAGAGAGGCCTCCCGGATCTTCATGCCACCCCTCTAACTGCTTCACATGCCTTCCGAGCTTGCTCTGGGTCCACCTGGCGACGGCCCATGCTTATCAGCAAAACAGCAAAAGACCGAAGATAGCCCGCGTCGGCGGTGGGTGGTGGTGCTGCTGCTGTATCTCGTCGCTGGATGCTCTGATTGCGACGCTGAAGTGCTCAAACGAAAGCTCTCGTCTCCCCGCGAAATTCAAAAAAAAAATTCTAGGGGCTCCGTGACTGTATCAAAGAGATACCCCCATTTGAAAAAATGTGGTTGTTTATACCCGGGCGGTTGTTGATACCCGCCGCTACTCTATAGTACAATTCTAACGCTTTCATTTCACCCTGAATACCCTAGACAAAAAACATATGCTGTCGTGGTTGGGTTATGGTCTACATAGATAGATATACCCCGCGGTGAAGCAAGAAACGAGGCTCGACGAGGCGACACAGGAGAAAAAAATACGGGGTGATGCCCAATAATAAAGAAACTAACAGAACACGACAGCGACAGGCGGCCGACCGCCGGTCGGAGAAAAAAGAACAAGAAGAACATTACGAATCCATCTGAAGGCACGTGTTTTTGCTCATTATCTCTCACGCCAATGCGCACGCACAGTCAGTCTTAGTCTTGCACCTTCCGCCTGCCAAGCGTACTATTTATTGTAATTTCCTGTTGAAAACGGCACAGAAGAAGCCCATAATTGGTGATACGAGAACCTTACCCGATGAACGGACCAAACAAAAGATAGATACTATAACGCCACAAACTGGTATCTGCCGGGCACCTTATCGCGTGTATGTTGGACGTGACTGCGAATTTCACGAAAATCTGAAAGATATCGTTCGGTACAACTGCTATATTCTGGTTTGAAGGCGCTCGTGATCAAAATATACTTCCTTCCTCTGTCACATCAGTAAATAAAGTCCGTTATGATTACACGGCCATTTAGCCGCGTCCGATGTCTTAGGCGATACTTTTTTTGAAATCTTGAGCGTTTTTCGGGTTGAAACCCATACATACGTATTTCTTTTTTTTTCTTGCGCACTACCCTGCATGCACTAGCGGCCTACAAAAAAGTAGTCAGGCCAAAAAAGGCCGTATTTTGCCCCTTTCCATGAGGGTGGGGGTGGGGGCACGAAACGAAACATACCAGAAAAAGACAAGAATAATCCCGAACCCTAAACCCAAGGTTACCTCTACTGAACGATCCATTTCGCGTCCTCCCATACAAAAACCAACATAGTAGTGAACCCACACTAAAATCAAGACATTTTCGAGGCCCACACTAAAACCAAGACACTTGGGGGGGCCACACTAAAATCAAGTTACTTGCGGGGCAAACCCGACAGGCGTAGGGTCCTAACCCTACCCCCCCCTTGTACTCAACGACCCATGTCGCGTCCGCCCAATGTTTTCTGGGGTAATCACTACCAACGCCATACCGCTCGGCGAGGGGGCCTAGAAAGCCCTTGGGTACCCTTTCTTTGCCCGGCGGAATCGCCAACGCTATCGCCACCGCCATGGCGTACCGACGACCCAACGATACTTCCGCACCCCGCTTACGACGTGGGGGTGTCTGGGCGTCGTCCCCCATGATAGCTACGTCGTTGTGGTGGTAGTGGGTGCTCACACAGCACAAAGCTGCAAGTATTCTTTAAAATATTCTTAAAATGTTTTCAAAATATTCCCAAAATATTCGCAAAATAGTCCCGTATTTGACACACTAATTCTCAGTAATTGTGAGTCGGAATTAATTTAAAAAAAATTAAGTTATGTGCGTAACAAGCGCTTTCCAACAAACCTAACTACAGCTTCAGGAACACCTTGGCTGGTGAGGTATGTATGTAAATTCCCCCATAACGGACTTTATACGTATGTGACAGAGGAAGTATTCCATTTACAAAAATATATTTGCTCGCATGGTCCAAAAACACATGCATCACATCATGGCACCTCTCCTCTTCTCCCACGGCATGGATGTGTCTCCACTGCCCGACCGCACGTGATACACTTTTTATTACCTGCTAGGAAGGAAGCCACGCCCGAAGAGAACAACAACGAATGACAGGTACAACAGGCACAAATATATAGTCTACATGAAAAATGTATTTTACGTCGAATTAGAAACAAGCCTGGTTTCTTCCTTGGTGCGAGTTCGAGCCAAATATATTCCTTTCAGCGGCAGGGGCAGTCTACGTCTCCGACAGAAGAAGCGGTCTTCTTTCGTTTCAACAATAGTCTCCTCTTGATCGTGCCTACATACAACAAGCTCTTCGTCACGGCGTGTCGGGTGTTTTTCTCCAGGCGCGCGAGCGCGCGACACCGCAAAGCCTTGCCAGGGACCGTGTGGTTATCTAAATCTGTCGAAACTACAGTAGGATGGGCATGCACACAAAAAGTGCGGTACGTGTAACGTTCTCGTGTTGATGAGAGAGGAGGGAGGCCGTTTTTTTTCCACCATCTCAGTTTCCCAGCATCTCTCTCAGTGTTCAACTCTCATCACGTCTCACACGCCCATCCAGACGCAACGAAGGCAAGAACGAGCGTAGGAGAACGAGTGCTGCCGCGCCACGCCGTTTTCTTCGTGCATGGCATCCATGCATCGAGGGGGCGGTGACATCGCGTCGAGAACGCCATTCGGGCCACCAAACCTGGTGCCCGCAAGTACGGTCGCGACTCTTCCCGAGAAGTAGCCGTCAACGCGTGAAGACACGCCTGGTGAATATTTCGCACCTCTCTTTTACTCTCTCGCACACTTTATCATCTCTCCCCTCTCTTAACTTGCTCCGGTGCGCATCCCCAATCCAATAATATCGAATCAATCTTGATCTACTTTGTTACGCAAAGGGCAAAACAAGCCCCCCCCCCCCAGTTACGGCACCACATTAATGATAAAAAAATATTTCACGACGACATTGGCGCCCCGAAACCCGTATTAGAAACGGGCGTCATAGGATACAGAGAAAACAGAAAAGGGACAAATTGGCTTCTCTACGGATTTGATCAATATGCACACGCACACATCAATGCCTAGATATCCGCCATCCCGGCCACACGCCAAGCTCGAGCCGGGCCGCCTGCGGACACAATCTCTTAAGGAGCATTAGCCCTGAACAGCGGCACGATCCCCTTCACTGCTTTGCGGACCGCGAAATCTTGCGCAAAAACGGGGGAGGGGGCAAAACAAAAAATAAAAAAACCACCACCCAAAAACATTTCAAAGAATAAAAAAAGCACTCTCAAGGAGGGCTTGCAGCCCCTTGACTCCACATCTCGCACACGGTACTGTAGATAGAGCAGACACGAATAAAAAAAAAAAAACGCATCCCTGCACAAAATATGTCAAGAAAACTGCAAAAAACGAAAAGGGCACCCGCTCGCGCGGAACTGGGCGCTTCACCCCCTCGAGATAATCTCCATATACAACCGCAAAAAAAAGTTCAAGGCAAAGAGGCACGCACTCTCGGAGACCACAACATCGCGTACGTAGAGCAACAACGCTTTATTGTGTCTCTCAAGACTAGCGACACAGCCGATGCCCCTCAAGAAGCGGCACCCATCCTGGCCACGGTGGGGTTGTCGCACCTACAACCCCCGGTTCTGTATCGCGGCATTACCACTCGTGTAGATGACAACGTCACGGCGACGATTACAGAGCTTTCCGTCCCCTCCGAATGGTTCGTGTGCATATAGCAAGGTTCTTGTACTAAGACGTCAGCACACCTCCAGCTCCTGGCTCTTAACCCGAAAGATTTGGCTGTTCCATGGTTGAACTTACATAGATACCGTACCACATGTCCCACGCGACGTACGGCAACATCGGTCCCGCGGGTAAGCTCGCCACGTCAAAAACGCAGTGAAAACGTACCGTAAGGTTCCCTTACAGCAGACACCCCAAAACAAAAAAACAAAGGCGGACCGTTTGTGTGGACTCGCGCACGCGACGGCCGCGCGCACCCCCTGTACAAGAGTGTGATGAGGCGGCGTGCTGCCAAAACTCTAGATGGCAAGTTGTTGCATGCGCCGCGGCGCCAGCGCTTCAGATTATCCCCACCGGTAGCTTCTTCTCCTCCTTTTGGCAAGCGAGCAATTGCACTTATTCGCATCGGTTACAGTATTTATCAGCTGTGTTAATATCACCAACGGCACGCCCGTAAGGACAGCACCGTGTCTCGCGCCACACCACTTCTCGTCTTCGAAGCATATGACGTTGTTCTGCGCAAGATAACAACCGTCACCAGTCGACAAGGGTCTTCGTCCTTGTACCTGGCTCTCCTATCTATACCCGCCCCCCCTCTCCCCCCCCCGCCTACCGCTGCCCTCAATCTCTGTCCATGTACCGGGGCTTCTTGGACCCTGAGCTAGGAGGCATGCCTCGGGGCCCAACGACATCATCTTCTTGGAAGTCCCCGTCACCGCCGCCCCCGCCGTACGGTGGGCTAAACGCTCCAAAAGGTGGCATCCCCCGACCACTTGCTCCTCCTTCTCGTCCGAGTGGCCCCCACGACCCCCAGGTATCCGGCTGCCGGTGCTGCAAGCGGGGGCCGCTGCCGTGCTGCTGCTGCTGTTGTTGCTGCTGGTGCTGGTGCTGCTGCTGCTGCTGCTGCTGATGCTGATGCTGATGCTGCTGCTGATGCTGCTGCGTTCGGGGCGCCGCGCTGTTGTCGTGGGGTCGCTGCTGCTGCCGCTGCTGCTGCTGCCACAGCTGATGCGTTCGCGGGCCGGCGCTGCCGCTGCCGCTGCTGCTGCTCCCCCCGCCGCGCCTCGCCGCACCTCCCGCCCCCGCAGCGGCCGCGGCAACCGCCGCCGCAACCGCCGCCGCCGCTGCTTCTGCGCCGCCCGCACCCCCCGCGAGCTTGCGCTTGTTCGTCCCCTGCCCGCCGCCGCCGCTGACGTTGTTGCCGTACTGCGGTCGCGAGCTGGCTGTGCTGTCCTTCAACTGCGGTCTGGGGCCGACCGAAGAGGTGTTGTTACCAGCGGCGTTCGTAGGGGCGGGGGAAATCGGCGCTCGGGAAAACGTCGGCCCGCGTTCTCCGCCCCCGCCGCCCCCGCGCGCCGCTGCACCTTCGACGCTGCTGCTACTACCGCCAGCAGCAGCAGCAGGAGCAGCAGCAGCAGGAGCAGCAGCAGCAGGAGCAGCAGCAGCGAACGCGCCGTGCCTGGTCCCACCGCCGCCGCGGTCGGCACCAGCGCCGGCCCTGCGATCCCCACCACCACCGCTGCCGCCGCCGGTCGTACTCTTCTTTTTCTTCTTTGACGAAGACGGCTGCCCCGCCGGGCTGCCAGAGCTGCTTCCTTTGCCCGTGGCGGCGGCGGCGCCGCCGCCGCCGCTCCTCGGGACACCCACCCCGCCGGAAGACCTCAGAGAGTTGCGGAGCGCGCCCTCCGCCATGTTCATCGCCGCTCGGCACTGGTCCACGATAAGACTACGCGACGGGGGCGATGAGGGTGGGACGGGGGGGGATGACTGGGTTTGACGGGAGATGGACGTGTACAAGACGGACAGACAACGGAGGGAATGAAGTGGATGGCCTCCCTCTCCCTCAGGGGGGGGGGTGAGCATGGCGAGCAGCTTCTACAACTTGGTTTCGGGTGTGTTCGCGTTCGCGACGTGCTTGTGAGGATTACGGGCATGGATTTGGTTTGTTGCTTCGGTTCGAGGTTTGATGGAGTATGTGTGTACGGCGGCGGCGGGGAAGGGGGTGGGGGGGGGGGGG